TTATTGCTAGAATAAGATACGTTTCAACACCTATTAGCTACCCACTTTTCATTTTTATAGATCTAGGCCCTGAGGAACCATGTACTCATAAATAAGAAAAATGGAATGGAGGGAGTTTTATTTTCATCATGTCATACAATTCCTTGTAAACTCTCTGGGTTACATGCCAAAAATAACATGGTGATTTATCATTAAAAGTTATTTTTGATGATCCATAGTTGATTACAGTCTACTCCATTTTAGTTCTTGCAAAGAATCTGAAGCTATCTGATGTGTTAAAAAAAAAAAGTCTGTCAAATAGTAGTGTCATTCCTTTTCATTAGTGTCATAATACCTGTATTTAGAATATTTTGAATTGTACCTTTTTCCAGCTCTCTAAATGTGTGAATACCATGGGTTATGAATGAAAGGAAGACTCAAACTTTCTTTATAAAGCAGAAAAATAGCTATTAATTCCTTGGCTATAGGCACTTTCTTAGGTAGCTGACTCTTCAAGAAAGAACACAGATGGAAGTTAAAGATCTAGAAGTTTGCCCCAGGTTTTTAAGCTATTCATGTCCATGTATTTCTGGGAAAATCCTTGTGTACCTGCTGGGGTCACAGATCCAAGTTGGAAGATGACAGTCCTAGATGACTGGTTGTGGGCATCTGCCATGACTAGTTCTACATTGTGTATATAGACTATAAGATGTACAATTCTGCTTTCTATAAGACTACACTTTATTGGAAATGCAAAATCACACACTTAACCTGTATATAAATGTGCTAATCTATTTTTACATATGAGGTAAATGAACCTCAGAAAGGTGAGGCAATATGCCAAGTTTCACAGGTAGTAGTAAGGTGGTGGACATGGAACCCAAATCTGCAATCTTGTTATTCCAAAGTCCATGTTCCTTTTACAAGTACTGCCTTCCAAATGACCAGAAAAACAATAAAATTTAACAAACGTCATAGATGGAAGCTACTGGTTGAATATGTATTCTATTGAAATCTACTTAAAGAAAGAGGTGAAAAAATGGGCTGGAAAAATGAGGAGTATTTTATAGGTAAAAACGAAGGCCTAGGTAAGCTGGGGAAGGGTACAAAGCAGTGGGGGAAGGTGTCAGGTACATTGCAAAGGAAAGAGGAAACAAAAACAACTAGATAGGGAGTCTACTTGGAAAGCAGATAAAGTTACAACTTGCTACGGAGTCAGGCATGGAAAAATCTTAAAATGATGATTCTATTCTTGAAAATTAGGAGTCATTGGTGAGTTTTGAACAGGGCACATGGTAAAAGTCATGTTTTAGGAAGAGTTACCCAGTAGCAGCCTGCAGCATAGTTTGAAAATGGCGTTGACAAGACTACCTAAGTAGGCCGCTGTAATAATCCAGATGTAAGTTTATAATGAAATAGACTAAAGTGTTAGCTGCGGGAATGTAAAGGAGAAGACAAATACTAGAGACAGTATGAAGAAGGAAATCACAGGCTAGGGGTTAGGATAAATAATTCATGTGAGGAATAGTGAAATATTAGGCAAGAACGATTGGCTTGGATTACAAAGAGCTTTTAATGCAAGCTGAGGGCCCTGGATATTATAGTCAAGTGGAAGGCAAAACATGTTTTTGAGCATGAGAATACAAATGTTTAGAGAATATTAATAGTGAAATGAATATTTTATCTCATTCTAAAGCAAAAACATTAGGATATAATTATAAAAACCTAAGGACCTAAAGTCTCAATTCCATAAATTATGAATTCAGTTCCTCAAAGGGTAATGTGAAGTTACTTCTTTGTCATATTAGATTACAGTCAGACTGGCTTGTTCCCACTTTATAATGTTTAAAAGAAAACTTAACAGAAATTAAGTGAGACTTTTGGATTGCTCTGGAAATGATTTCTATCAGGAGACAAAGAGTATGTACACAATATGGGCAGCGACACCTCCTCCAGACAGGAAGGTGTTTAAGGAAAAAGTTTAAGTTTAAGGAAACACAGGAAGATGTTTAAGGAAGGTGTTTAAGTAAAAGGCTTGTTTAAGGAAGAGCTGCTATTCCCAGCTATCACCACACACTATGCCTAGGAGGACTGGCTGCTGGTGATAGTCCATACTACCAGTAGCAGAGGCTGATAGGAGATGCTCAACATCACTCCTCATCAGGGAAATACAGATCAAAACCACACTGAGATTCCACCTCATGCCAGTCAGAGTGACTAAAATGAACAAATCAGGAGACTATAGATGCTGGAGAGGATGTGGAGAAATGGGAACTCTCTTGCACTGTTGGTGGGAATGAAAACTGGTGCAGCCGCTCTGGAAAACTGTGTGGAGGTTCCTCAAAAAATTAAAAGTAGATCTACCCTATGACCCAGTAGTAGCACTGCTAGGATTTTACCCAAGGGATACAGGAGTGCTGATGCATAGGGGCACTTATACCCCAATGTTTATAGCAGCAGTTTCAACAATAGCCAAATTATGGAAAGACCCTAAATGTCCATCAACTGACAAATGGATAAAGAAGATGTGGTTTATATATACAATGGAATACTATTTGGCAATAAGAAAGAATGAAATCTGGCCATTTGTAGTGATGTGGATGGAACTGGAGAGTGTTATGCTAAGTGAAATAAGTCACGCAGAGAAAGACAGATACCATATGTTTTCACTCCTATGTGGATCCTGAGAAACTTAACAGAAGACCCAGGGTCCCCCCTGGAGAAGGGGGGAAAAAAGAGTTACAGAGAGGGAAGGAGGCAAACCATAAGACACTCTTAAATATTGAGAAAAACTGAGGGTTGATAGGGGTTGGGGGGAGAAGGGAAAGTGGGTGATGGGCACTGAGGAGGGCACCTGTTGGGATGAGCAGTGGGTGTTGCATGGAAACCAATTTGACAATAAATCATTTTAAAAAACCTTCGATCATAAATAAGTAGTCCATTTTTAGCTTTATATTAATAAAATCATACAATATGTAAAAAAAAAGGAGTATTGGAAGATAATTTGAAGTATATCTCTGAGGTCATGGAAAGTACAAGAGTTCAGCAGAATTTGGAAAGAATTTATCTGTAAGTCTCATGAGGGAATCAGAATTTGAAGGAATGGTGGTCCTGGCAAGACTGCGTAAGACTGGCTGTCTTCTTTGATGTCCATTTAATTTAGAAAAGTCATGCTAAGTGTGTGAGCTGCTTTCCTTTTCCTTCTCTCCCCCTTTCTCTGCCCCCTTCTGTCCCTCATTCTCTCTCTCCCTCTCCCTCTCCTTCTCTCTCTCTCTCTCTCTCTCTCTCTCTCTCTCTCTGTCTCTCTCATTTATTTTCATTCTCAAGTTCCTTTTCCCCCAACTAAAAAGCACAGCCTTCATATTGGCTGAACTCCTCCAAAAACAGATATCTAACTGGTAAATGGGATAGTAGTCTCCTCACAAAAGTGGAGGCAGGGGCTATGTTATTCACCTCCTACACCCTAGCTAGAGGAAGGAACTGTTGAAAATTCCCCACTGACCCAACAAAATCATTATTTCACTGGTTCTTTCCTCTTTCTGTTTATAAAGACTTGTGGGGGAGGCAGCGATGAAAGATGTTTGGGGGTAGCAGAGCTAATTTGGTAGTGGAGCTAATTTGATTATCCCCCTGAGGAGAGTGTAAAGAGATATGATCCCCTAAAATTGTAATGCTTTTCTTTTTTTAAGTTTTTTTGGTGACTTTTGATTTAGATTTAATTTCAAACGTCCTGAAAATTTTAAAGACTATCAAAAGAAAACTCCCATCTGTTTATATTCACTATTAAACTTTACATTTTATTTTATCATTCTATGTTATCTATCTATCTATCTATCTATCTGTCTATCTATCTCTACCCTGTCATCTGAAAGCTGGAGACAGTGAATCCCTTTACCCATAAATACTGCAGTAGGCTTTTTCTGAGACATCTGGTTCATTTTAGAGTATGCCAGGACAAGCAATTTGTCCCTAATTTTCCATGCTAGTGACAAAATCCAGAGCAACTAAAAAAGTTCCACTCAATATCCTATTATAAAAATATTCTTTGAAACATATTTTCCTAGAAAGCAAACTGATAAATACTAATAGGACACAGATTCATCATCATTATATGATAACAACTACTTACTAGGATTTCAAAATACACTTAGCAAAGTATTAGTCATTTTATATATAGTTCATTTTTTTCATCATAACTTTTACACAATGTTATTCTTCACAGTAAATTTATAATGGAGGCGCTATTTGTTCAAAATGGCCACAAAATATTAGCTCACTAAGGATATCCAGACATTTTATTAGTTAATATTTAATTAATTATTAAAGTATATCCCTTTATAGCAGAAAGGATGAATGTTATATCCTATTAAGACAAAATATCAAGTGCTAAGAATATGCACCAATTCTAGAAGACTATACAAAAGAGACCTTAAAGCTCTTATTGAAAATGTAAACTGTGAGCAGGGAATTTGGGTTGCTTTGATTTTATATTACCTTTACTTTATCCTATACTTCTTCAGGGGGTAGCATAGTAGTTCATTATTCATGAACCTTAGAGTTGACTACTTGTTCACTTCTCTCCTGATGGCCCACTGTTCCTTTTCACTCCTCTCTTCTGTCCTTTTTCTTTTCCTAGTCGGGAAGGCCTGTGGAGGACTTTGGGTCTAGCATCCATAGGAGAAGAAAGAACAACAGAGGGTCAAACAGCTACAAAATTATTAGATCTTTGAAATAGCCCAGGGTAAACCATTTTTATGGTAAGTTCTTCCAGTTCTTTTCTCCTCTCTAAGTATCATTAACAGTAAAAAAAAAAATAAAAAAAAAAAAAAAAAAAAAAAAAGGTTAATTTAGTACCTTCTATGTACCATGCACTGCTCTGTTATTTTATACAAAATGTAATTTAATCTTTAAAATCATCCTCTAAGGAGCAATGTAATCAATAATCAATAAAAGATTGCTATTCAAAACTCCATGACTAGAATATAAATAAGAATTTAGGGATTAGAATATGAGACTAGAATATAAAACATAATAAGATAATAGAATATAAATAATATAAAATAATAAATAAGAAAATAAGAATAACTCTCTATTTGGAGCCCATCTTATAAAATACTCATTTTTTCCCCTATTACTATTGTGTGTCACTTTGAAGAAAAAAATCCTTAGAAGTTGTTTGAGATGCTTTTTGTTCTCCACTTTCTATCTTCTCTTTCTGCTGCCTAGAACAGGTAGTATGGTTCCAGCAATCATCTTGAATCATAAAGTGATCTTGAGAATGGCAATTTTGTGTTAAACATGGCAGGGCAAGAAAAAAAGGATCCTTGGTCCTTGAGGACATTGTGAAACTTCTGTATCAGCCTGGATCTGTCCTACCTTAAGACTTCTTTTATGTGAGATAGAAATACAACTCTCCCTTATAGAAGCCACTTTAATATCATTTTTAGTTTTTCTCTTACACAGAAATTAAACCAAGCTCCAAATTTTAAGTACTTAAATATGCTATATATGTAGGTGCTTGTACCTTGTTTGACCATAAGCTCCACAGATACATTAATGGCTATTAAATAGGGTATATTAGGATCAGGTTTTTTTAGTTTTAGATTATGCTGACTACAAGAGAGGGGATGAATTAAAAAAATATATTGGAGGCAGAAAACCATATTGGAGGTAGTTTTAGCCATCTAAGAAAAATATGATTTAAGTCAATCTAGGAAAGTTGTGGTTGGGATGGGGGAGAAATGAAGACACTGAATAAATACTTCAGATATAAAAATGTCAAGACTATAAGATTGATTGGAAGTAGGAGGATGGGGAGAGAATGTGCAAGTACTAGAAACTCTTGTTTCTAAAACTGGTGGTACAACCATAAGAGTTAGTGAACACTGAGAGTAGAAACGTCAGTGGGAAAGTTCAACTTTGCACATGTTGAGCTTGAGTTATTTATGTGAAAGCCAAATGGATATGTGCAGGATGCAGCTGGATAAAAAGATTGTTGCTGTTCCTTACCAGAGGAATTCTGGCTGGTGTGTGTGTGTGTGTGTGTGTGTGTGTGTGTGAATGAAAATTATCAACCAGAGAAAGGACATAGTAGAGAAATTAGTGAAAAGATAATAAAATCCTGGGGAACTTCAAAATTTAAGGTTGGTGGAAGAAAACAGGTATCCAAAGGAGAAAGGTAAGAAAAAGGGAGTGAGGAATATAGATATCCAAGAGTCATTCCAAGAAATGTCATTTGAAGAAGGAGTGAATACTATAATATGCTCAGTGCAACAGATTACCACTGGGACAGACAATGAGGAAGATGGTACTGTAAATGGGAACAATGTCAGCTGAGCTGCTAGGTGAAGAAAAATCTACAGAAAGTTAAGAGTGAATGGTAAATGAGGATAGTTGACCATTCTTCAGAGAAGTTTAGATGGAAAGTAAAAGGAAACATTCAGTAATAGTGAGAACAAAATATAGATTAGAAAATGATTAAATGACAGCTGATAAAAAAAATAAGACTAAAGTGTCATTATCAAATGATTGACTAAGAATTTTGGAGTAACACCTGCATCAAAAGGATGACACCCCATTCTAGGTCCTGAGAAATTTTATGTTGGCTTTAATTGTTCTAAACAGAGAGCAGTAATTTAATACAAATTTCCAGTTCTTTGTAGAAATGGGTGAGGTTATTAGATAGGAAATAATAAATAAGTTTCTTTCGCTGTATTTTGCTATCGATCGAAGAATAATGAATTAAATCAAGAAGACAGGGAGGCAAATGATTGGCCTAGCAATACCTTATCAGAATTCTGCTGGCAGTTAGGATAATGATGCTCCAATCACATCTGTACTTTCTCAGTCAGCATACAGATCTGGGAATAGACTCTAAATTAGTTACCATGAAGCTAGCAAGTTCATGCAAATGTTGTAACTCACGTTTTTGAATTTCACCATTTCCCAAAGCGAGTTGACCCAATGATCTATATTTGGTGGTGATTTTTATTCCCAGATGTTGAAAACAGCTTCTTTGCTGGCAATAGGTCCTTGAGGATGCATTTTTCCCTTAGCTTTAAATAGCATACTTTAGGGAATTGGTATTACCCAAGATATAAAAAGATTAATAAGGATTTAAAATTGAATAACTCCAGTAATTCCGTTAATGGATGTGCATACAAACTGTTTCCTTGGTTAATATTATAATGGCTTATTTATCACCACATTCCTAAGAGATAACTCTCTTAAGTTTGTAACCACAAGCTTTCAGTCATCATGAGGCGCTGAGGCCACACGCCTTATTTCTTGGCACAACACGAGCAACCTTGCATAAGTCTATGTGTGAGACTTTGGAGAGCCTCTCCCCTTCGATCCCCTGTGTAAAATCTCTTTTTAAAGACATCTGAACTTTATCTGTGTCTTTCTGGCTTTCATTGAGAATGTTTATTTAATTCAATGTGAGAGAATTGAACTCTGGACAAGGAGCATGATGAATTTTCTAATTCAAACTGGGTACCAAGAGGTGGCCTGTCATCGTTTTCCTTTTGTTGAGCTGAAAAAAAGATAGCAAATGAGTCTCCTTGAGAGCAGTTCCCACTTCTGTTTCAAGTTTCCCCACCAAGTCATTAAACATTCTCTGGGTTTTGTCAACAGCCTGGTAAACATCCAAAGAAAGAATCAAAATAAGATCGTTTATTTAACATTCTTCTCCTCCAACTGCTGATTAGGATAAATAGTTTGGATAAAACTTCTATCTGATCCAACAATCACAAAAAGAAAGCATTTAGCTATTGGTGAAGGTTAAATTGAGTTAGAAATACTTTAAACAGCAAAGAATTTTTTGCAAACTTTGATATTTTCTTTATCTTTAACTCATCTTGTTAAGACAATGTCAGGGCTGAGCATTAATGTTGAATAAGCTCCATAGAATCTAAGTGAAAACATAGGCATTGATTTCCAGAACAACGCATCGGTAGAAAAGTCTCAAACTCAGGGCTCCATTTAAGTAACTAAAAGAAGTTGATTCTAGCTATTTCCAAGAACTGCCTTTTCAGACTTTGGGCGAAATGTGTGCTGATTTACTTATCTCTAGAGAATCTAACAACTTAGTCAAAAATGAAAAAAAAAATGTTTCTAATTACTGAAAAGACTTTTAGGCTTACAGATCACACATACTGTTATAGTGCTTTGTTTTATGTTTCTGTGCAAACTTTTTCAAGAAAATAAGTTGTAATCCTAAATAAAGATCTAGTGAAATACACTACTGAGATCTTAATAGAGTATATGTGATGCAATAACTAAATTAATTTGCAGATCAAATTTTTAACATTTCAAGATTCTACAATTGTTCACAAAATCTCCTCTGGCTTCTGTTCCTACTAGATTTGCTCTTATTATCTGTTTTATGCTCTGATTAAAATATAATTACAAGGTCTCCAGGATGACATACACTTCAATGCATTTGTGTTTTTTCTCAGCCTGCTACTTAGAATGCTCTTTTCATTCTTTAAGACTGATTAGCATCCTATTATTCCTTTTAGAATGACCTCATATGCCACCATGGAATATTACTTTAACTTGAAATAAAAATCAACAGATGAACCATGATTCTTCGGACTTGGGTATTGGGCAGACATTTCTTCAAAAAGGAATAAAATGAGCTTGGCACTTTGGGAAAAGCAACTGACAGTAATTGTGACAAAATCTGAGCTGTCAAAAGAAAATGAGAATTTTGGAAAAATTTTTATCTACCATGGGTTTTGTAGTTTCATGATACTTTAAACACTTCTGATGAAATTGGTGAGGACATTAATGATTGTGACTTTGATAATGTATAATGAAATATGTCAATTTTTGGAAGAGTTACATAAATCAGTGATCTGTTTTCCAAACGATGACTGTATGAAGTTACAAAATTACATATGAGTAAAACAGCCATTTAAAGTGTAAGAAAAACTAGCAGATTTTAACAAAACAGGATAAAGAAAGTTGATTAATATGATTTCAGATCTTACATTTCAACTAACTTTAACTACTTTTTCCCACGTTTTGGTGTAGGATCAAAAAATATTTACAATTATCTGAAAATTCTCCTTCTCTTTCCAATTACGTATCTGTTGGAAAACAGATTTTCTTTATGCACTTCAACAACAACAACAACAAAATAATGCTACAGATTGCCAGAAGAAAAATGTAAGAATTCAAGTGTCTTCAATTAAGACATCAAAAAGATTTCCAAGAGTAAAACAGTGACACCCTTGTCACCAAATTTTTGAATATAGGGTTAGTTTTCAGAATAACTGCCAGTAAGTATGTTTTGATGTAGCAAGTATAAATTCCTCCATGAAAAATGTGAGTGTCACTTTACAAATTTTAAGTAAACTCATTTTCTGAATCCAAGTAAAGTATTTGCCTGATGAAAAAAAAATTATATTCTTGATAATCTCATTTAAATTCAAGGATTTCTTTATGATTATAGCTCCAATATACATTATTTCAATCCCTTTCTTCGCATCTAAATTTGGCGAAAAGAGAGTGGAGCTGGGCTGTGCAACTAATGCAATTCTCAGGGGCCTAGGCCACTTCTTATTAACTTCTCAACCTTGACCTCAGGCCTAGGCCACTTCCTGTACCACATATGCAGTACTGTGTCATCTGATGTTCTGCATAGCTGGGACTTGAGCTTCCCTTAAAGGTGCATGGTGGTTGCTGGGAAACCATAAGACGACAGGAAAAGAGAGATGAAAAGCATATGCATTAGAATTTTGAAATATTATCATCACCACATTGTTTTATGTATATACTTCCCATCTACTTGTTTCCTTACATCTGTTTTATAAACTTAATATACTAGAGACATGTTCTCATGTCATCAAAATATTCCTCTAAATTATAATATTTAAACTTTGAATACATTTTATCACATTTCATCCTGAGGACATATTATAATTGATTTAAGAAGTCTGTTGTTAAACACTTAAGTGTCCAATTTATTGTTGTTATAAACAATAAGTGAACATCTTTTCACCTGTTCACCCAAATGTTTGTATTCATTCATGATTATTTCCTTAGGACAAATTACTTATAAGGGAATTCTTGACTTAAAGACTATATTTTTGAAGTCTTGGGATTTTTTCCCCAAAATTATTCCCTAGGCTATTGTGCAAATTTACATTCTGCCAAGAACTGTAGGAGTGAATATTATTTCATGTGTGAAATGGTCATTTAGATATCTTTTGTAAATATCCTGTATACATTTACTGCCCATTTTATTATTTGCATCTTAGGTTTTTTGTTATTGTTTTAATTATTTGTACTATAACTTGGTGATGTTAATAATGCCTACCTGTTCTTTCTTTTGGTTGCATTTAATTGTCCATCATTATATTTTTAAACTTTATGATTCTTTTATGACTGTCTTTTTAAAACAGCAGATGCCAGATTTTTATATTTTGTCAAATTTCAATAGAGAAATTTAACTTATTCACATATTTTTACAACTAGTATCTAGTTGTTGCTTTTTTTTTCTTCAAAAGTATCCTCTTTGCTTTCTGCTTTTAATTTATCTTAATAAGCTATCCCCCTTCCTGTCTTTTGCTGTTTAGACCATGTTTTCTTTGCACTTTTCTTTAGTATTATGGATGCTTTATTTTTCTCCGCGGTATTGAGGTTTAATTGACAAATAGAATTGAAAGCTATTAAAGTGTACCATCTAATGACCTGATCTATGTACACACACTGTGAAAGGATTTCTCCCATTGAGTTAACTAACGAATTCATCACCTCACTTATTTACCTTTTCTTTTTCTTAGTTACATTCTACTCTTAACGAATTTCAATTATACAATACAGTGGGTATCAACTGTAGTCGCTACGTTCTACATTAGATCGTTAGAACTTATTCATTTCATAACTGAAACTTGTGCCCTTTCAGTAGGCATCTCCCTATCTCCTCCAGCCCCCAGCTCTGGGCACCCACTTTTCTATTCTGTGTCTATAAGTTAGGCTTTTATCTTTTTATTTTAATTTTATTTAATTTTATTTTATTTTATTTTATTTTATTTTATTTTATTTTTTTGGTACGATTCCAAATACAAGTGATTTAATACAGTATTATCTTTCTTTGGCTTATTTCACTTCACATAAAAGCCCTCTGGGGTTCATTTTTGTTGTCTCAAATGACAGTATTTCCTTCTTTTTAAAGACTGAATAATATTCCATTGTATATATTCACCTCGTTTTCTTGATCCATTCATCCACTGTTGTATACTTAGATGAATTCCATAAATTGGCTATTGTGAACAATGCTGCAATGAACATGGTGCTACAGATATCTTTTTGAGCTCATGATTTTGTTTCCTTTGGGATTGCTATATCATGGGATTGCTGGATCATGTGGCAGCTTTATTTTTAATTTCTTGAGGAACCTCCATACCGTTTTCCACAGTGATTCTACCAATTTACATTCACACCAAAAGTGTACAGGGGTTTCTTTTTCACCACATCCTCTCCAGTGTTTGTTATCTCTTGTCTTTTTGAAAATAGCTACCTTAATGAGCATGAGGTAACATATCATGGTAGTTTTGATTTGAATTTCCCTGACGATTAGTGATATTGAACATTTTTTTCATGTACCTGTTGGCCATCTGCATGTCATCATTGGAAAAATGTCTATTCAGGTCCTTTGCCCAATATTTTTCTCAAGTTTTTATGTAAATTACAGTTAGTTAACATACAGTGTAATATTAGTTTCAGGTGTAGAAGTTGGTGATTCATCACTTACATACAACACCAGGTGCTCATTAGAATGAGGGTCCTCCTTATCGTTTGCCCAATTTTTAATTGGGTTATTTGGATTTTTTGTGCTATTGGGTTGTAC